AAGAGGAGAAGGAGGGAGAGGACTAGTTGCTGCCGATTCAAACCTGAAATGCCGGAACAACACGATTCAAAAAAATGCAAAAAATGTGTAAAACTTAAAAAGTCATTATTGCTGTTTTTTTACTGAAATGCGCATATTTAACTTGCGCCATGACCAACGTGTCATGGTTTGTTTTTTTTTTTTATATGCCTTTTCGAACTCAATATTGATTAGTCACTTTTTTTTTGGTTTGTTTTTTGATTGATTGATTGATTGATTGATTGATTGATTGATTGGCTCCGACAATCCAATCGAATCGATCAATTCGATCGGATCTTGAAATAAAGATCCAATCGAAACAATCGATCCGATAGTCCATAAATGATTTTTTATTTTTTTCCCGGTTGGAAAAAGGAAAAAAGTGCGTTTGGAGTTTCTCTTGTGACTTTCGTGGTCCGTAGTTGCTGCCGATTGAAACCTGAAACGTTAGGAAGAGGAGGAGGAAGAGGAGGAGGAGGAGTGCGAAGAGTGCGAAGAGGAGGAGGAGTGCGAAGAGGAGGAGGGAAGAGGAGGAGGAGAAGGAGGAGGAGGAAGAGGAGGAGAGGGAGGAGGACGAGGAGGAAGAGGAGGAGGAGGAGGACAAGGAGGAAAAGGGCAAGGCCGGCGAGGAAGAGGAGGAGGAGGAGTGCGAAGAGTAGGGAGAGGAGGACGAGAACGAGGATGACGAGGGGGAGGAGGGCGAAGAAGCCGCGGCGGCGGAGGATGAGGAGGAGGAGGAGGAGGAGAAGGAGGAGGAGGACTAGTTGCTGCCGATTCAAACCTGAAACGCCGGGACCACGCGATTAAAAAAAAAAAGCCAAAAAATGTGTAAAACTTAAAAAGTCATTATTGTTGTTTTTGTACTGAAATGCACATATTTAACTTGCGCCATGACCAACGTCTCATGCACTTTTTTTCTTCTTTTTTTTTGTGCCTTTCCGAACTCAACATTGATTAGTCATTTTTTTTGTTGGTTTGTTTTTTGATTGATTGATTGATTGATTGATTGATTGATTGGCTCGGACAATCCAATCGAATCGATCGATTCAATCGGATCTTGAAATAAAGATCCAATCGAAACAATCGATTCGATAATCCATAAATGAATTGTTTTTTTTTTTCTATTGATGGATTGCTTCGCCCGGTTGAAAAAAAAAGGATCGGATCGGATCGATTCATAGCCAATATCGAAAACGATTAGTCACTTTTTCTTTTTGTTTTTTTTTTATTGATTTATTGATTGATTGATTGATTGATTGATTGATTGATTCTTTGATTGATTGGTTCGGACTATCGAATCGAATCGATCGGTTCCATCGGATCTTGAATTAAAGATCCAATCGGAACAATCGATTCGATCGTCCATGAATGAATTGTTTTTTTGTTTTGCTATTGATGGATTGATTCGGCCTGTTGAAAAAAAGGAAGAAAGTGCGTTTGGAGTTTGTCTTGTGGCTTTCGTGGTCCGTAGTTGTTGTCAATTCTAACCTGAAACGCCGGAAGATTGGTCGGACAGAGGAGGAGGAGGAGGAGGAGGAGGAGGAGGAGGAGGGGAACGAAGAGGAGGAGGAGGAGGATGAGAAGGAGGAAGAGGAGGAGGAGGAAAAGGCCGAAGCCAGCAAGGAAACCGATGAGGAAGAGGAGGATGAGGAGGAGAAAGAGGCCAAAGCCGACGAGGAAGCGGACGAGGAAGAGGAGGAGGAGGAGGAGGAAAAGGAGGAGGAGGAGGAGGAGGAAGAGGCCGAAGCCAGCGAGGAAGAGGAGGATGACGAGGAGGAGGATTAGGAGGAAAAGGTTGAAGCCGGCGAGGGAGATGGTGAGGAGGAGTGCGAAGAGTGATGAGGTGGCGGTAAAAAGGCGGCAGTTTTTTTTTTTTTTTCTTTTTTTTTTTTTGCCTTTTCGAACTGGCCCTCCCTGACGCGGCGGTTGTTTTGAAATCAAGATCAGATCGGCTCGATTAATAGCCAATATAAAAAACGATTAGTTACTTTTTTTTCGCTTTTTTTTTATTGATTGATTGATTGATTGATTGATTGATTGATTGATTGATTGGCTCGGATAATCCAATCGAATCGATCGATTCGATCGGATCTTGAAATAAAGACACAATCGGAACAATCGATTCGATAGCCCATAAATGAATTGTTTTTTTTTTGTTATTGACGGATTGATTCGGCCGGTTGGAAATGCGCATTTTTTTACTTGCGTCATGACCAAAGTGTCGTGCACTGTTGATTGAAATGCGTATTTTTTTGACTGAAATGCGCATTTTTAGCTTGCGCCATGACCAAACTGCCATGCACTCTTGATTGAAATCAAGATCGAATCCGGTCGATCGATAGAGAATATTGAAATCGATTAGTCACTTTTGATTGATTGATTGATTGGCTCGGACAATCCAATCGAATCGATCGATTCGTTCAGATCTTTAAATAAAGATGCAATCGAAACAATCGATTCGATCGTCTATAAATGAATTGTTTTTTCTTTTGTTATAGATGGACTGATTCGGCCGGTTGAAAAAAAGGAAAAAAAGTGCATTTGGAGTTTCTCTTGTGAGTTTCGTGGTCCGTAATTGCTGCCGATTCAAACCTGGAACGCCGGAAGATTGGCCGGAAAGAGGAGGAGGAGGAGGAGGAGGAGGAGGAGGAGGAGGAAGAAGAGGAGGAGGACTAGGAGGAAAAGGCCGAAACCGGCGAGGAAGCCGCCGAGGAAGAGGAGGAGGAGTGCGAAGAGGAGAGGGAGGAGGAGGAGCAGGGAGGAGGAGGGAGGAGGAGGGATGAGGTGGCGGCAAAAGGGTGGCAGTTGCTGCCGATTCAGGAGGAGGATGAGGACTAGGAGGATGAGGAGGAGGAGGAGGAGGAGGAGGATTAGGAGGGAAAGGCCGAAGCCGACGAGGCAGATGAGGAGGACTGCGAAGATTTGGAGGAGGGAGGAGGGCGAAGAAGCGGCGGAGGAGAAGCAAGAGGAGAGGGAGGAGGAGGAGCAGGGAGGAGGAGGGAGGAGGTGGCGGCAAAAGGGCGGTTGGACGAGGAGGGCGCCGAGTGATAGGACCGAGAGGCAGCCAGCAAGGCCTTTTTTTTGTTTTTTCAATCAACCAATCAATCAATCAAGAAAAAAAAGGAGAAGAAGTATCCAATCGATTCGAAATCGGTCAGTATATTTTTTAGTTTTATGTTTTGACGACTGATAGGCTGATTGATAGATTGATTGGTTGATTGATTGATTGATTGGCTCGGATATTCCAATCGAATCGGTGATGATGCAGAGATCTCACCGCATTTGGGGGCTGCCGACGCCACCCGGGTGCACGTGCGTAGTGTAGACAGGATCTGCCATTTGTAGTCTGGGCGGTGAGCGCCAGTTTGTGGGATCAAGATTTGGTTCATCGGTTGTGTATCCGCATTTCCCAGCAGCCAACGTCGTGACATATCTGATTCTGGGCACCACCACGACAGCACCTGGAGATGGCATCCAAAGGTACGGTCGACAGTCCCTATGTTATGTATGTGTGTTGTATGCTTTCATTTGTTCAATTGTAATTCTGAAGGCCGGACGCCGGACCCTCAGATGGACCGGCGCCTCGACGTGTGCCGCTGTCGTATCTGTTTTTGTTCTTATCTCGGATGTTGCTGTTGTTTCAATTGTTGTGGCAGCTGTGTTTGCAACTGCAGCTGTTGCAGCGATGGCCCGACGCCTCGACAACCCTGGACTGTCCGGTGGTCTGGCGTCGTCGAGGCGCCGGACCCTTCGACGGTCTGGCCCCTTGACGACGCCGGACCACAGTGGGTGGAGCTGCTGCAGATGTTGTTGCTGGTGCAACTGCTGCAGGTGCTGTTCGAAACCGCTGGTTCAACTGCTGCTGTACGATACCGCTATGGGGGTGCTGCTGTTCGAAACCACGCCGGGCCATCCGATGGTTTGGCGTCGTCGAGCCGCCGGACCCTCCGATGGTCTGGCGTCGTCCACGCGCCGGACCCTCCAATGGTCTGGCGTCGTCGAGGCGCCGGACCCTCCAACGGTCTGGGTGCAGCTGCTGTTGATGTTGTTGCTGGTCCAACTGCTGATGATGATGATGCTAAAGCCTCACGGCTATGTTGTCGTCGGTGCAGCTGCTGCTGCTGCTGCTGTTCGATACCACTATGGGTTTGCTGGTGCAGCTGCTGGTGCAGCTGCTGCTGCTGCTGCTGTACGATACCGCTATGGGTTTGATGCTGTTCTAAACCGCGCCAGGCCATCCGATGGTCTGGCGTCGTTGAGGCGCCGGACCCTCCGATGGTCTGGCATCGTCGAGGCGCCGGACCCTCCGATGGTCTGGCGCTGTCGAGGCGCCGGACCCTCCGATGGTCTGCCGTCGTCGAGGCGCCGGACCCTCCAATGGTCTGGCGCCTCGACGACGCCAGACCATAGTGGGTGCAGCGGCTGTTGATGTTGTTGGTGGTCCAACTGCTGCTGATGCTGCTGCTGTTCCATACCGCTATGCTGTAGATGGTGCAGCTGCTGCTGCGGCTGTTCGATGCCGCTGTATTGCCGGTGGTGGTGCTGCTGCTGTACAATACCCGTATGGGGTTGCTGCTGTTCGAAACCGTGCCGGACCCTCTGATGGTCTGGCGTCGTCGAGGCGCCGGACCCCCCGATGGTCTGGCGTCGTCGAGGTGCCGGACCCTCCAACGGTCTGGGTGCAGCTGCTGTTGATGTTGTTGCTGGTCCGACTGCTGCTGATGCTGATGCTAAAGCCTCACGGCTATGTTGTCGCGGGTGCAGCTGTTGCTGCTGCTGCTGTTCGATACCACTATGGGTTTGCTGGTGCAGCTGCTGCTGCTGCTGCTGTACGATACCGCTATGGGTTTGCTGCTGTTCTAAACCGCGCCACGCCATCCGATGGTCTGGCGTCGTCGAGGCGCCAGACCCTCCGATGGTCTGGCGTCGTCGAGGCGCCGGACCCTCCAATGGTCTGGCGTCGTCGAGGCGCCGGACCCTCCGATGGTCTGGCGTCGTCGAGGCGCCGGACCCTCCAATGGTTCGGCGCCTCGACGACGCCAGACCATAGTGGGTGTAGCTGCTGTTGATGTTGTTGGTGGTCCAACTGCTGCTGATGCTGCTGCTGTTCCATACCGCTATGCTTTAGCTGGTGCAGCTGCTGCTGCGCCTGTTCGATGCCGCTGTAATGCCGGTGGTGCTGCTAGTGTTGTACGATATCGGTATGGGGTGGCTGCTGTTCGAAACCGTGCCGGACCCTCCAATGGTCTGGCGTCATCGAGGCGCCGGACCCTCCGATGGTCTGGCGTTGTCGAGGCGTCGGACCCTCCAATGGTCTGGCTCCTCGACGACGCCGGACCATAGTGGGTGCAGCTGCTGTTGATGTTGTTACTGGTCCAACTGCTGCTGATGCTGCTGCTGTTCCATACCGCTAT